TTTGTCCCAACCAGATGTCTCAACATGTTATTTCATTGCCAAAGCAATAGGAAAAGACAGTAATCAAGGGAATAAAACCTTTTTACAAGGAAGCAGGTCCACGGGTCACAGAACACCATGTTGCTAGGACATCACAGACCCGTCAACAGCAATCCGGCCGCTGTCACTGTCCAATAAAACCTCCACGAGGCTGACGAACGAGCATGTCAGCGCGGCAAATTAAAGTGCTCTGACCTCATGAAGAAACCCTTACCTAAAAATACCAGTGGACTGTAATTCAGAGGGACAGGTTAGATATGGGTGCTATTGCTAAAGACTGTGTATGGAACATTCATCATCGTCACATTTGATGAGCCCCATTGCTTGGGCTGTATTTGATGGATGGGAGCGTGTGTAATTCAAGCAGGGCAGGAACAGGAAGTAAACTTGGGTGTGTCACTGTGAGCTGAGATTATTACTGTCAGCTTAAAAATTACGAATGAATCACGGCCTCCTTTTTCAAAAGAAAAGCTCCAAATCACGCCATAGCGTATATAATGTAAATGAACTAAACTTCCCCAAAATGCTGGACATCAGATATCCCATAAATCTCATTCTAAATTATTTAAAAATGTGAACCACAAACTCAAAGTGCACTAACCTGACAGACTCATAACTGAGAGTTCTACATCTGATTGATGCATGACTGCGAGGCTTCGTGAAAACTCACTGCAAGCCCTCCATCACTGTCCGGTCACTTTCTCTCTCCAGTCGCCGACATGTTTTAGAGTGCAAGGAAAATTGTACGTTTCTGTAAATGTAACATTGGTAATCTGCTTGTTAAGTCTGACGTCACGTGTCACTGTTTCCGAGGCCAAACGCTTCATCAGATCCCAAAAGCAATCAACAAACCGTGCTAATATACACTCACGGGCTGTGTCTGAAATCACACTTTCTCTGAGTACTTCTTTTGAAATGACTTCACTTCAGAATCTCGCTTAAATAGTAGGTTATCTGGACACGTTTTGTCTGCTGTTTTATGAATACTGTCAATTCGGACATACTACTTGTCTGATCTATTTGATTTGCAGCCATGGCATGCCATAATGCTATGGGAAAATCATTACTCTAGTCTAATCATTATCTCCATACCAAAATTTCATATGGCCAGATAGTAATTTATCTTAAAAAAAAAACAGGCTTAGCTTAAATGTGTGATATGACTAAACAGTGCACATAAACGGCTGTTGAGATTCTCAGTTGAAATGAGCAAAGGCTTGGACCCAGAAACAGTATTTATTACGTCACGACTTAATAAGCAGATATGATGTGGAATACACTCTGTGTGGCCATGAGGTAAGTGAATAACGGGCAATAATAATAATAATAATAATAATAATAATAATAATAATACAATTGGAAAAAAGAATAATGTAATTATTAATGTAATATAATTTCTTGTCAGTGCATTTACAAGAAATTCATTATTCAAGCATTTATTCATTAAGCATTTGTCTATTTAAAAAGTTACTTTATAATAAAAAATACTTTAAATATTTAAAACATGTAAATAGCTTGTTTTGTTTTTTGTCCATTTGTTACAGATTTGTTTGGTTGTGTAGTTTGCGTCTATACATGTTACCATATACCACATATTTTTTGGACATGTTCCATTGTATTTATTTACTTGCTTGCTTACTGTAGAGCAGGAATTTTTTCAGCTGAACTCCTTTAACCTAAAATTTTTTATTTTATTTAGTGTTTTAGTAATTTAACACAATTGTCTGATGTTTGCATTACATGGCATGTATAAAATATTTTTTACAATTTCATTTTAGATTTTATTATTTAATTAATTAGCTTTTCATCAACACAAACCCTAGGGAAACCCTGCTGTAGAGAACCATGTAAATACCATGGTGCCTGAATATGGTAATTACTCATGCCCATGGCATTGGTCCATTTCACTGCACCTTGAAACCTGCCATCTGATACCGTCACTGTACCATATCAGCAACACAGTACTTTTTTATAGTAGAAAGTTTTCCTTAATCCATTTTTTCCAAGAGGTTTTGATAGTACACTGAAGGTGTATTTGCATTAAGCTAACATGATTCAATTATAACGGTGTGATATACAGATCCTATCCATGCAGAAATAACATCTTTCGTCATTCTAAATTTAAAACATCCCCAGGGCTTAAAACCATGATCAAAGTCAATCCAATCCCTCCAAACCCACCTGAGGCTCCATTGTAGAGGGACCTGTGACTGCGCTCAGAAACAGACAGGCTGAAAGGTTTGGTTTTTTTTTAATGAGATGATGGGTATAGTATGAACTGGCACACCTGTGCCCCGTCTCATCAGTTTCTACTGACCCAGTTTAATTGGCTCCAGTGGACAAGTGGGAGTTAGTGAGAGAGGTACATGTATTGATCCTGCAACTTACTGCCTGACTCTTAAAATTCCCACACTAGCTAACAATCTTCCAGTCCGTTGGGTTTTAAGAAGGTCATGTGTAATGTCAGTGTCAGAGGTTAATTTATTTAGACAACACCAACAACAGTGGTGAAAGACTGCAGTTTGTTAACTCCAGTTAATAAGCTCTAGTTACAGCTACTAGTTTATTTAACCATCTGAACATAAGAATGCTCTCAACTCTGCTACTCCAGTGAAGTGTAATTTTTTTTTATTATTTCATCCATTCAGATCTTTAAATCTATTCACTAACACTGATTGTTTCAGTGACCTTTAAAAAAAACAACCACCACATGATAAAGTTGAATGTTTTTTGCCACATCAAAAAAATCATGGCATAGTTTATTAACTATTTCCATCTATTTAATTTGATTTACATCACATTTTCAAAATGGATTTATCTAATTTGCTTAGAATCAGCATTAAAAATGTGTGAACAAGGATAAAATATGGCTAGCTGTGGAATAAGCAATATTCAATTAGCTAGCATATGAGATTGAAACCAGTTGGATTTATTGATGATAAATATATAAACTTAGTTACGGTGTATTTAAAATACATTCAGTTTATTAGTACTATTTCAGAAATCTTACCTTTTTCGTTTATTTATGACTGAAAAAATATGCATCACAAAGTTTATGTTTGTTTGTTAGAACAGTAATCCAAATGGGTGGAAATTTTATATGCAATTCAAATACATATATCTTAAATTTAGGCCTAAACATTTTTAAGGGTCAGTGTTATTTTAGTGTTATTTACATATTATTATAGTATTTATTTATATTTTTAATTATTTGCTTTTAGCATTTCAAATTTAGTTTTTGTTATTTTAAGTTTAAGTTTCTTTTGGCTTTTTTGTTAAACATTTTAAAACTTTATTTTTATATTTCAGGTTTTGTTTTTAGTAATTTTAGTACTGACTTCAGTTAGTTGCCAAAGCAACATTTCAAATTTTTAAAAAGTGTTTCATCTTATATTTATATTTGATTTTGTTTCAGCTTCATTTCAGTTAAAAAACAAATATTAATAGTTTTAATTAACAATAACAATGCATTAGGTGTCATTTAATCTATAGCCTTTTTTGAACAATGAGTGAAAAATCAGGACATTATCATGGACGCTTGGTCATACTAACAAATGAACAACGGTTTATGATAAAGTCAATTACAAAATTCATTCACAGACAATGATTGATTCTGTAAAGCAAAGCTACTCCAATACATGCATTTCCCATTTTAGCCTTTGAAACCAACAGAACTGCAAGATTAACAAACTAGATCTAAATGATAATGCTACTTTATCACAGAACCCAAGTTATGAATCTTATCATTATCAAGTAATGCCTTATCTTCCCACTCTCTTTGGTTATATATGTTGACTTTGGGTGATTTAGTGGCTGAATTGTATTCCGCTGGCATTGCACTGCGCGCACACAACGACAAGCGCACAATGATAATGTGCCAGAGGATGAGGATGAGGAGAGTTAATTGGGTTTGCCCTCTCTCTTAGGGTGCATAGATTAAGAGGAATCATAAATTAACAGACCTATCGAGTCATAATTGTGGCTGGTGAGTTGAAATCTCTCCCTCATTATGGCCTCTGTGCTTTTACCCTGGTGATCATCGCTCAGGCATCACGCAGCGACAACTAAAGGTCATGTACAGCTGCCAAACACTAAAGAAATTCATGAGGGTGAAGAAACTGTCTAAGATAAGTTTTAGTATGCAAAACAGGGTACCATAGTGATTATCTACTAAATATCAATGAAGCTGTCTAGGTAGCCGGTAAAATTAAACATATTCAGAGGACGGTATGAGTACATTTTCCCTTATTTGATCTCAGGGATGGAGTGACTGTCACTTTATGTAGTTTTAAGATTATTGTGATGTATGTACAATAACAAATTGCTCTATTATAATTCATTTCTGATATTTTACTTCCCATTAATCAGTTAGCGAAGGTGACTGACTCAAAGTTTGTTTTAAAAATAAGGTTTTGGAAGAGCATTTTTATATGCAAAAATAATATTTGAGCAACTATAATTTTAGTAGACTTAAGACTCACATAACATGGACGTATTCTGTTGACGTTGTATAATTTTAGTAGCTCAATATAATATTCCGTTGAATTTAAATGAGGTGTGTAACCGAGTAATTAGTTTGTACAAGGCTGCCCTCTAGTGTATATTTTGAGCACACAAAGTGGCTTCCAATACATTCTGTACCACTGTTTTTTAGTGTTTGTAACAAAATAGTAGTTCACTCAAAAATGAAAATTTGCATAAAATGTACTCACCCTCAGGTCATACACTATATCTTGTGAAGTGAAAGTCTGTGTGTTCATAAAAACAAATTCATCACTAAGACTTGACTTTAAACGAGTCTTGTATCTGATATAGTTTACAAACGAAAGCAGTCCAAACAAACATGTCGGTGGATTCTGATGTGAGAGGACAACAGGGGATGGACTTTTTCAGGAGGCATTATTATGGATTATAGTCGCAGCTTTTCACTTCACAATACACTGACATACTGGAGTGTATTGTGATGTTTTTAACAGCTGTTTGGGCTCTCATTCTGACGGCGGCTCAATTAAAGACAACTTATAGATTTATGGGCTGCTTTTGGTGCTTGACACTTTTTTTATGGGCCATTTAGTGTTTCAAGAATAAGGTCCAAGGTTAAGAATAAGCTATTAGTTACTAAAAAATTTTTCTCTATTTTACAACATTACAATAGGCCTAGTGAAAGAAGGCTTCCCTTATTGACCACGTCTTATGTAGATTGCATGTTTTCTTTGTTGGACTCATGAAAAATTATCACGTTGTTTTTATTTGGCAAAACTGATTTAATGAAGTCAAAACACGGACGGAACTGCCGTTAGGCAGGGGATTTCACAGCCTTCCTCGGACAGTTATATTCAAGATTTCTGATTTGCTTTTCATAATCTTGCCCATCTATCTCTCCTAAAATGTGTTTCTGCAAATTCTATCCTGCTCCATCTGAGACTTGGCCTTCTTTTTCAGCAGTAGGATGTGTTCGGCAAACTCTCGCACGGCTCCGTGACCCGCTGCATTGCGGCAGATGTATTTGGCATGGTTGAGCGCGACCGTTGGGCATCCACAGGTACTGCGCTCAACCCTGCCAGTTCCAGGCACTTTACATCCGGCTCATCGTTTCCTGATAGACAGAAGCCAGGAAAAATATTTTGAGAAATCATTCTGTCTTTTGACTGATAGTCATTTTAAGGAAAGAGTGGTCATTCTAATGAAAGATTAAATGATAAAAGGAATAGGTTTTAGTATTTGTAGTTAATATTGAGGTACAATCTTTTAAACCTGTATTAGCCACACCAACATTTCTAAGATACACCATGTTCTTACTGATCATGGCATTTGGCTGATGTAACCGGGAGAAACGTAGAGCTCCTGTCTCACCTAAATATGCCACCTCTTTCCACTCCAGCCCTTCTTCCTCCATGAGCTCCTGCACCTTCTCCAGTTTGTCGTCCACATCCTGCAGGATCAGACAGCTCATTCTCTGTGAGAGCTTGTCAGCTAAGGCTTTTGCTATGGGGTCTTTTTCTATCATAATAACCTAGAGGAGAGGGGGAAAAACAAACACGTATACATTTTAAAGTAGTATTCATTTTTTGCTAACATCTTTCTTTAACTAATAGATCAGTCTCCGTAAAGACCGTCAAAAATTGCCAGTGCCGACTATATTTCAAGTCGTCACGGCGGGGGATTGGGTAAAGTTTTCAATTAGCAATAATCGCGCCTCGGATAAACCTCATAGGCTACGATACTGCCACTGCGCAAAGATAAGCAGCCAAAGGAGACGTCTGAGTACTTGTGTGTTTGAGCCCCTGTGATCATCAATGGTGGGATCAGCAGAACCCACGAAAAATCATCAAACTGCACAACACTACACTTAAACTGTTAAAAACAGCTGTTTTTAAAAGTGAAATATCAAATTGTGCATTTTATACCGAAGTTATATTGAATTAAAAGACAAAAACAAGAGGGGTCCCAGTTGCATGATGGGATACGAAGGATGGGTCTATTGTTGTGTGGGGGTTGGTAGAGGTCGGGGGTGGGAAACACAAGGTTGCCAAACAAGCCAGAATCACCTTCACTTGCTCTTTCTTCAGCATGTCGATACCGGCCTGGTCTCTGGTGTTGATAGACACCATCTCCTCTCCATTTGCTGAGATGTAGATCTGACCGTCTGTCAGACATCCTGACAAGTTACACAGCAGAAGCTTCACAACTTCAGGTTTGTCCTTACCGAAGTAACCAAACCTGTATCAAATACACACACCCACAGGTTCAGACTTTGCACTGTTTGCACTGTGGTTGTTTGCTAATATAAAGTTGCGTGGAGCCTATTGTTTCTTCACCTCAGCACTCTCTGTTCAGCTACGGGCCAGTCTATGTCAACATCAATATCCACACTGTACTCGGGCTTCATCTCAAAGTACTTCATTTTTCCACCCTGTGAAATGTTTCAAAAATGACAATTATGCAAGATACAAAGAGACTGATTGAGGATACTGATAATATGCTTTCTTGCCTATGGATTATTATGTCGAGCTTTTTTTGGTCACATATTATGTAGCTCATTAAGTTAAATGGTGGCCTTTAATCATTTTAAAACCCAAAATGTTACCTGAAGAAGCCCGTTTTTTACAAGTTCTTTGGTAGCGAAGTAAAAAGAGCCATTTTCGCACAGTTCTCCTTCCCAGTCCTGACGCCGCAGCCTGCAAGCTGGGTTCAGGTTCAACGGCTCAGTACATTGGCAGCCTTGAATATAAATAAAAGGTTAAGAGTTTTCAACATGCAATAATCTCTTATGCCCATCAAGGCTGCATTTATTTGATCAAAAAAAGAAAATGGTAATATTGTGAAAAATTATTACAATTTAACATAACTGTTTGATATTTTAATATATTTTAAAACAGAATTTATTCCTGTAATGGCAAATCTAAATTATCAGCAGTCATTACGCCAGTACTCCGCTTCAGAAATCATTCCAATATGCTGATCTGTTGCTAATAAGAACATAATAATTAGAAACGTTTAATATTATTACCAATGTTGAAAACAGTTGTGCTGCTTAATATTTTGGTGTAAACTGTGATACATTTGTGTTCAGGATTCTTTAATGAATAGAAGGTTCAAAAGAACAACTTATTTTTGTAAATGTCTTTACTGTTACTTTTAAGCAATGTAATGCTTCCTTGGTGAATAAAGGTAAAATTTCCCCTTAAAAATCTGTACTGACCCCAAACTGAACATTTACAGAATGCACTCCAACAAACCTTCGTTCTTGACCTCTTGCCATCGGAAATGGTGTCGCCGGACCACAGAAAAGACTGAATCACACCCTTCTTTGGTGATGCACTCCACAGCCTCTTTGAGATGGTGAGGGTGCAGACATGGAGACGTGGCCTGGATGTTACAGATGACGTCAACACCTGCAACATGTTTTTGTGAACATAATATACGTGTGTGTACTGTGTATATTTTATGTGTATATAAAGACACACACATGCATGTATATATTTAAGAAAAATATCTTATGTTTATATATTAAATATATTTATATAAAAAATAAATTATGATTATAAATATATACATATAAATATTTTCTAATTTGAGTTGAATTACTGAAATAAATGAACTTTCCCACAACATTCTAATTTATTGAGATGTACCTGTATACTGTATGTGTGTGTCTTTATATATTCATAATAAATATACACAGTTCACAAAAACTTTTATTCTGGATGCGATTAATCGTTGCCCAGCACTAGTATTTTTAAGAGTATATTTTCCCACCTTTTTTAACCTTCAGAGGACAAAAGAGAACACTGCTCAAGCCTTAACAATAAGAATGTTAACCGTACCTCTATATTTTGGGAAATGTGCCAAATCTAGCAAGGTTTTGAAGCTTGCAACCTTGAGGAACAAGCTGTGTTGTGTCTCTCTCATGTTTTTGTTAAGCGGCAATAAATATAGTTCACCAGAACCAGATTTTGAAATGAAAAAATCCTTACTTCCCAGGTAAATACCACAATAAAACAACATTATAAACATTCTTCTGTATCAGTGCATGAATATTTGTCAGCTGTAGAGTCTGTTTTTCTGGTTTCATTCACAATGAAAATAACAAAGACAAGGCGGGTGAAACAAGTTGTCAAGCATGACAACTTGATTATGTGGCTTGTTCCCTGGTTCTATGTTTGTTTTACTCTAAAGCAAGCGGTAGTAGGTGGACATACTCGTTTTACAAGCTGTAGTTACACCCCTTATATACAGAACTAACTAACTCGTGCAATGGCATGTGACTGCAACAGAGCCTGTTACACAACCTGGGTTTAGTCTGCTGAACTCCCGGATGGTGTCCAGTGAGCTAGAGGAGTCTTTGGACACCTCTGGACTCCTCCTGTGCACTTGAGCCCCCCAAGCCCTGGCCACTCTCGCGATCTCATCATGATCAGTGGACACCCAAACACTGCAAAAACATAAACAGCATAACGTCTACTGCCGCACAGCACAACCAACCAATCACTGAGTGAGTGACGTCCCATTCAATGACCTGTCAAACACCCCAGAGTCCAGCGCTGCTCTGATCACCCATCCGATCAAAGGAACTCCTGCCAGCATCTTGATGTTCTTCAGAGGGATGCCTTTACTCCCTCCACGGGCAAGAATAAGAGCAGCTTTGTGTCTTGAATCATCCGTGTTGATTTTTCTTCGTTTTGCGTTGGAAATGTGCTCAAGACTGTTGTCATTCAACTCTTGCATACCGTTTTCACTAGCTGCGGCCTTTAGTGTTGCTAATCAGTTAATATCGCCCAGTTGCACGGATAATAAGCAGGCAGATAAAAGTATATCTTAAATCCAGACGCGAGCTGTGAGATGTTGCTTCCATTCCAAAGCAATCTTCTTCTTGGTTTTAATGCGAGTTGCAATCTTTGCTCATATCGCCACCTACTGTGCTATTATGCAATCAGGATTTTATTTTATTAGTTGTTCTGGACAAGTCCAGTGCCTTGTCCAAATATCCACACTTGCGGTCTTGGCCACTTGAGACCGCGTGCGCGCGACAGATAGTAAGTGCGCAAGACTGACCCAGGTTTTAAAAATGGCAAAGCGCAGTGCCCTTAACGCACACTTAAATCCACACTATCTCGAATACCGCTCCGGAGCGCTATTCGAGGCTTACTGTGCGTTCACACCGAGAGCGTCAAAAATCGCTGGGCAAGTTCAAGCTCAAACCGGTGTGCACCGTTTTGCTACGGTTTCCGGTTTGAACGACATGTTTCCTGGAAACGGTGTGCAACAGGGTTTGAGATACATTTTGTCTTTTGTCAGCAGCAACACGTGTTCCACAAATCCCTTCACTCAATTGGGATGTTCTCTTTTATTCTGGACGGCAAGGGCAGTGACTGTTACATCGAGCGTATTTTGCAGTATTAGGGGCCGTTCACATATAGCGTATTTTGCGCGCTCAAGTTCGTTATTTCAAATGTAGATGCGCGGCAGGCGCACTCATAATGGAAGCGACGCGACACGCTCATTTTTTTCCAGGCGCGTCCGCACCGCATCGAGATAAAAACATTTCAACTAGTAGCAGAGCTACTGCAAGCGATTTTTAGTGCTGCAAATCCATTTATCCTTTGCTGAAACTTCCGCGTCTTCATGGACAGCGCAGGTCAAGGTTGCTTAGCAACGGCAGACGCCTCCGGAGCGCAAGTGCCCGAACGCTTTGGAAAAAGCAGAAAGCTGGCGCCTAGCGTTTTCCACGCGCTTTAGGCGCCACATGTGAACAGCCCCTAAAACACCTATTTATACCGATTTCATCAGGCTCCGAAAATTCTTCAAAAAGAACACAAAGAATGGCCTTCTCAGCTGCCATAGTTGCAACTCTTGCGTCATCAGAACAGGGTGTTCAACGCACCACCGTTTCCGTTTAAAAAATGTTTTGCACCGTTTTGTCGGGGCTGAACGCAGCCCTGATTTCAACTCTCCTCGATGCCCTTAACGTCCAAGTCGCGTTTTATTGGTGCAAAGATGAGTAGTAGTGATATTTATTTTTTTACAACATTTGCAACTGCTTTTTATCACTTAATTAGAAGCACCACAAATTAAAATTATGTCATGTTATAGGGACTACTGAACAGACATTCAGAAGTTGATTTTAAAATGCAAAGTATTTAAAATTAAAATAAAGCTATGTAAACATTTGCATTTTTACAACACTATAAGTGTGTCCCATCAGGTAATGAAAAGTTGGACACACACTTGCGGTCTTCATCCTCACTCCAACACTTGGGCCAACCTTGAGCCTTCCGTTTGAGAAGCACCATTCACCTCCCTCATGCTCGCTAAAAGCCGTAATTACGAGAGCTGTGAGATAAAAGAATATTTTCATTTTTATATGTTTATTACCATTCGCCTCCCTCGTGCTCACTAAAAGTGATTAGAAGTCATTAGAACCCGTTCAAAAAAAGGATTCAGAGGTTATTTTACGGTGGACCTGCTTGTCCACGATTTTGAGCGCTGCACGACAGAATAGATCATGACGTGATCAATGGTCTTGATCTTATTTCCATCTAAAATACTTTGAAAAGCATACAGTAAAAGTAAACTTCATCATTCAGCTGAACTGTGCACATTTATTTTAGACACTTCATGTCATGTTCAATTCATGCGATAAACGCATGTCCCTGCTGAGCTGTGGGCTATGACTAATTTCACGGGCAAAGCAGACACATTTACAATTTATGTATCGTCATTTTTTTTAAATTACAAATAAAGCTTTATATTATGAGAAGGATACTTTCTACGACCTTTATCCTGCAGTCATGGTGAGATTATAGATTTCTTCAATCTTAAAAACAAGAATCGAGTAAGTATCGAAAACAACAGTGAGGAATTCCCATCGATTCCCAAAACTTCGGAATCGAACAGCCCTAGAAGGCAGCATAAGAGCAGTATGACTAAATCTAAGCCTTGAGACTACAGTTTCTTCATGTCTATTTCTTCCTGTTACTCTATATTTACCTACAACTCTTTGAATCTCCTTGAACTTGCTAATACATGACCTTCCACTTCGTACATATACCCTCCTATTCTATTATGATAAACTATTCTACATTCACCAAGTAAATCAGTCTCCGTAGAGACCGTCAAAAATTGCCAGTACCGACTATATTTCAAGTCGTCACGGCGGGGTATTGGGTAAAGTTTTCAATTAGCAATAATCGCGCCTCGGATAAACCTCATAGGCTACGATACTGCCACTGCGCAAAGCTGATAGTATGCTGTCCAGAGAGGGGACGTGACCAAACGACGCACGAGTTCCCTCGACGGTAAGCATACTTACTCTTCCCTCTCCTGTAGACAGGGTCACTGTGAAGGTGGATATGCAAATCGAAATGCTGCAGCAGAAGTAAGTCGTGAAAAACATGTGTTTTATGAACGTTTTAAACATATGTGTATATATATAGAGAGAGAGAGAGAGAGAGAGAGAGAGACTATTGGTTAACCTCGCGCAGTGCATGCTGGGATATACAGCAGTTTTCAAGTATACTGAGAACAAAGTGCCAGGAATCGTTTACAAATGTAATTTCATAACATAGACGCACGCGCGTAAATAAACGTCCATTTTCTCTGCAGTCAGTGGCAATGCAATGCTGTGATTCCTTATTTGTTTTTCGCATCTATAATGTGCAGCCCACTTTTATTGTCGGAACTGCAAGTGGCCACCAGAGGGCGGTATTTATCTTAAAATAATTATCCCCACTTGACTATATATTTAGCTTCGAGTGATTCAAAGTTTGTAAATCTGTTTAAAACTGTGCTTAATTTGGAATATATTAAATAATATCAATTTAAATGCGAATTAAACATCAAATTCACCAGTGAAGTTGGACAAGTTATCACTCGAGTTGTTGCAGCTGATGAAGATTCATTAGCTTGACATTAGAACATCACGTCTAACGTTACCTGTGTAAAATGTTGCACAATATAAACCCCGGTCTACAAACGTAGTTGTATGTGTCTTCATATCGTGTAATTATTCTAACAATATTACTGGGAACATAACTTATTTAAACGGTTCAGAGTGCTAACTTTCGGGACATTCACGATGTTCACTAATTGTTTGACTAGCTAACTTAGTTCTTAATTACTCACAACAAATACATACACAACACACACATAGGCTAATGCAAATAGCATCAACAGTCGGGTGATGTTTACCTGTCTGACTTCCAAAATGATCAACGTTGATCAAAAATGCTCTTGCTAGTCGCAACAAGCCTTGTAGTTGCACAACAAACCACCAGAGGTCACCAACACATGCAGTTTCACCAGTTCACCACCAGAGGTCACCAACACATGCAGTTTCACCAGTTCACCACCAGAGGTCGTCACGAACCCGGCATCACTATCAGTTATCCTACATTTTCACTGTTTACACTTTGTTTTTCCCTTAATATTATACTGAATTGCTTTTATTTTGATGATTTTTATTTGTTATTGATTATTTTCGTGAATCATTTCAGCCATATTAATAACCCTAATTCATCTATTAGGTTTAATTGATAGAGATGATTGAAATAAAAATCCCAGAGCTTTATTGAGCACATACTGTTTATTACAAATCAAATGAAAAATGACAAGTTGATTAAGTTTAATTAAATGTGAAACATATTGTCATTGTCCATAGTACATTGCATTTAAATACAGAGTCATTCAGTGATAAGTCGTGCTAAAACGGAAGTAGGCCTATTCTTAAAAATAATGATTCTTTATTGGCATTGATGGTTCCGTGAAGAACCTTTAATATCCACAGAAACTTTCCATTTCACAAAAGGTTCGTTAGATGCTTAAAATGATCTTCACACTAAGAAAAAAAAAGGTTCTTTTAAGAACTGTGGACTGAAAGGTTCTTTTGGAAGGAACCAAAAACGTTTATTCTATATCATCACTGTGAAAACCCTCTTTTGGAATCTTGTTTTTTAAAGTGTAGTGACAGATTTTTTTTTCATATAGTGATCTACATGCAAGTGTAACAGATTATCAAAAAAAAAAAAAAAGTAGAGCGAGGACTTGCATACGTAACCAGAGAGAAGTCTATTTTTACTGGAAGGTTCAGTTATGATGTGAAAATAAAAAAATAAAAAATAAAAAGTTACAAATGAAACGTGAATTTTTCACGATAAGATCTGTAATATGCTTTAAGAAAATTTCACGTCAACTAATATGCCTAATTATTTGTGGAGCTCTTTGGAATTGATTATTATTTGAGGATTAACAGTCATACAGGAAACCATCTATTATAATCAGAATTATAATGTCAAAAACAATTCATATATGACAGGGTTGGCCAACTCTGGCCCTCGAGATTCACTTTCCTGCAGAGAGAACCCTGATCAAACTCACCTGCCTAGCTTTCTAGGCCCCTGCGATCTCACAAGACCATAGGACAGTGTTTCCCAAGCCACTATACATACACTAACACTATACATTTTCATATACATATATGTTCAATGAATTGGCTCATTAGTAGACTTCAAGACCTGAAATGTGTGGGTCAGATAAGGGAGACATCCAAAATGTGCACTGTTGGTGTGCCTCCAGGAACAGGGTTGAGAACACTGCTGTAGAGTGGCCCATTCATCATTTTAGATTTCAGAAGTGTACTCGCTAGTGCCCCTCTATGTGTCCTCAATGCACACTTCTGCTAAGCCGACACTGAGGTGAGCTCCACAGCAGACTTACACCCAACGGTCAAAGCAGCATTACGTCACAAAAGAGTGGACCATGAGGGCTTAGGGTACCATTTGGGACAGGGCCTAGTAATCCTAAAGATCTTGATTAGCTTGTTCTGGTGTATTTTATTAGGGTTGAAGCTAAACTCTGCACAAAAGTGGATCTCGAGGGCCAGAGTTGCCTAGATGAGAATGGTTCTAAAGAAAGACCAGCGTTGGGGAAGCTACGCTGAAACTGTAGCTTGACCAGCAACAAGCTACTCGTCAATTAAAGTAGTTAAGCTACATTCAAGCTACCCTTCTGAAATTTCCAATTAACATTACAAATAACTAAATAATTATTAATGAAGAATTACAATTAAGTTATAAGTAAAATATAATGAAGTTATAAGTAAAATATTTGGGGTTTAAAACAACATACTGTAATGCAATCATGACTTCAAAGAGTAGGGTGAATTCAGGTTGATTGGGACACTTTTCCAAGCCATTTCAACGACAAAAAGTGTCCCAAACATTTGATTTTGTAAACTATTCGATACACACAATAATAAAATACTGTATAGTTAAATAGTTATTTTAGTTATAGTATATTGCTACAAACGCAACATCAATGCAAGAACAAAATGTATGCAACTTAAACTTACAAACGCAACACCAATGTAAGAACAAAATGTATGCAACTTAAACTGGATACGGAGGAGTCATAAAATAAGCAGGTTAAACTCACACAGCACATGCGGTGTTTACTGACTGTGAATGGAGACGTCAATCATCAGCTACGCTCGTGAACACTGCGTTTTGCGTGAATCCCGCCGCAACCATCCTTTGCCAGATGATAAGCACACTACTATATCGCGATTTTATTTTCTGTTCGATTAGTGTTCATTACAAAACTGTGGGGGGACAGATTATATTATGACCGTTCATCATTGTAAAATAGACATTTGATCTGGAGTGCAATAAAGAAGAAAAAATAATCAGTTTAAAAAGGCTATTATTCACCTCCTGTATGTGCTTTAAGTCTTCGACGTAGACCACATTTTAATCTTTGTTTTGCGTAAATTACATTTGATTCATGTTAGGGTTAGCTATCCACTCCTGTATATCCTTTGTAATATCATCAGATGATCTCTTTTCGGTGGAAAGACTGTAAAACCGCGCGATGCGTGATATCACAACAGATGGCGGTAATGAACAAATTTAGTTTGTGAACTAGTCAGAAGAAGACGCTGCGCTGCTTCAATGCATCACAGGCTCGCAAGAACGCAAAACGGAATGTAGCGTTTGGTTGCGCTACACCGCTACTTGCTGGAAAAAGTAGTTAGCTACAGGAAAAGCTACACTGTTTTAAAAGTAGCGTCGCTACTGTAAAGCTACTGAAAAATGTAGTTACGCTAGTAGCGTTGCTACTTGTAGCTAGCTACTCCCCAACACTGAGAAAGACCGGTGAAAATCGTAAACCAGGCATTTTGTCATGTGATGTAACTTCTTGATTTGGTCCACCCTCAGGGGTGAGGAACTGCACTTTGGGCATAGCAAGAGTGGAATTGTTGAGGTGCATAGAGCTGTCCTTGCACACAGAGTTTTTCTGGCACATGGAGGTCCTCATGTGCAAAGAGTTCTGGAGCAACAACTTGTTCTTCTGGAGCATCTGGATCAGGATGGAGGGCTTCTCGTCCAGCTCACTGGCGCTGCGGCGCGAGGTGGCCACCTTGACCGTGTTCCCAAAATTTGAGTATTCCACCAAGTAGCTTGTTCTGGTGTATTTATTAAGGTTGGAGCTAAACTCTGCAGAAAAATGGATCTGGAGGGCCAGAGTTGCCCAGGATGGGAATAATCAAAAAATAGAGGAAACCATAGAAAAGAGCATGACAAGGATCAAGAGAAAGACAAGGACTTAAAGAAAGACAGGTGAAAATCGCTAACCAGGCCATTTGTCATGTGACTGCTAGATTTGGTCCACCCTCAGGGGTGAGGAACTGCACTTTGGGCACGGCGAGGGCGGAATTGTTGCGCCGCATGGAGTTGCTCTTGCGCATAGAGTTGTTCCGGCGCATGGAGTTCCTCTTGCGCAAAGAGTTCTGGTGCGACAACTCACTCTTCTGGAGCGTCTGGATGAGGATGGAGGGCTTCTCATCCAGCTCACGAGCGCTGCAGCGCGGGGTGGCCACCTTGACTGTGTTCCCGAACTTTGAGTAGTCCACCGAGTACACACCCTCTTCTTCGGTCACTATAGGCACGAATCGGTGGCCCCACTGGATCTCCTCGTTCACGTACGAGGTGCGAGCCTGAGTGGAGATGCCTGTGGTCTCCACCACACCTTCCAGGATCACGATGACCTCCAGATCGCTACACTGCAGCTCCATCGCCGAGAGATCGTACAGAGGACTATCCTTATCGATGACGTGACATATGATCAGGGGAGCCAACAGGAAGATGCTGTTGCCGGCAACTGCGCTTTCTGTCTGGACGTCGATCTGGTGGATGGGTATGACTTCGCCCTCTGGCGTAGTGGTCTTCCGGACCACTTGGAGCCGCACGACCGCATTGATGATCATGCTTTTGCGCAGATCACCCACCCGGATCATGAAGCACAGGCGGTTGTTGCGCACGGCGATGACGGCGTTGCGGCTGAAGATGAGGGTCTCGGCGCGCCGGTGGGATTGGGCGGTCTTCATGAAGATGCAGCCCAGCATGACAGCGTTAATTATTAGGCCGATGATGTTCTGTAATATGAGCACCGTGATGGCTGTGGGACACTGCTCTGTTATCATACGGCCTCCGAATCCTATTGTCACCTGCACCTCGATGGAGAAGAGGAAGGCAGATGTAAAAGAGCTGGAAAAGATAAAGAGAAAAGACCGAAGAGTATTAGGCTATTAAAATAAGAGGAATAAAACATCCAAGTAACAACATTATCCACATTAAAAACAAACAAACAAACAAAAAACAGTTCTTTTAATGGTTTTTACTTAATACTATGCATATTGAAATGTCTATCATGATTTTGAAATTATTCTTCTATTTTTTTTAAATGAAAAATTTTCCTGATCACTACATATGATCACATTCCATAATTTAAATTTTTTTTTTTTTTTAATGTCAAAGATTTAGTGATTTTTACTATTAATTTGTGGAAAATGCAGATAAAGAATGAGGTATGTCTACACACTTTACTAGTATTGCAGGCTCTAGGAAAAACCTTCTGAAAACCAGTCAGTATCTGGTGTGACCACCATTTGCCTCACACAGTGCAACACATCTCCTTCGCATAGAGTTGATCAGGTTGTTGATTGTAGCCTGTGGAATGTTGGTCCACTCCTCTTCAATGGCTGTGCGAAGTTGCTGGATTTATTGTGGCCAGCCTAAGGCACACCTGTGCAATAATCATTTCAGTGTATATATATATATATATATATATATATATATATATATGAAAATATGTTGCCTAGAGCCTGCAATACTAGTAATTAGATTATTTCAGTTAATAAATTAAGGTTTTTAATATATTAGCAATTTGTAATTATATATAAAATTTAAATCTGTAATTATATGGCCTAATTTTTATAAATATAACTATTTTATAATTATTGTTTTTAAATGTTGAAAATTAGTAACATTTACACAAATGTAGGAACGAAGAAGAATGAGTTATTACATAGTACTTTATTCTTCATAGAAATATATTTATTAGCATTTATATATTTATATATATTTCCTTTTCAACAAGTTGTGCTTTATGCTGTACTATTGAGCTGAACTGACACCAACATAAAAAAAACCTTACATTTACTAGAATTCAATGAAAATATATTTTATTTCAGTTATTAGTTTGCCATTATAAATCTGTAAGAGTTTTAATACAGGATATACATATTTAGACATTTAATTAATTTATTAAAATATAAATATAATAACATTACATTACTGCACAAACATATAACACAGTCAAGGTCGACTCTTCTAATTTTTTACAATAACTAAAACAACTTGGGCACACTTACTTGACATTAGTGAAACACTGCTCTACGCCAGGTTTACGGTTAGTGTCCAGATCTCCGTGCGCAAAGGCCACCAGCCACCAGAACATAGCGAACAGCAGCCAGCTGCACAGGAACGTCATGGAGAAAATCACCAGGGTGAAACGCCATTTGAGATCCACCAAAGTAGTGACCACGTCCTGCAGGAATCTGCCCTGCTCGCGGATGTTCTTGTGCGACAAGTTGCATGCGCCGCTCTTGGCGATGAAGCGCGCTTTGTTCACGCGGTCCCTGAACACGGGCTTGCGGGGAATCGGCGACACGAGCGCCGGGGAGAACGCGAACTCTTCGGGAATTATGCTTTTGCGCGGCAGCATTATTTAAGCAGGTCACTGCAAACGGTCAGGAAAAAAGACTCTCCATTCAACGACTGTCAAAAGCGCAGCTCCAGTTCAATAACGGTCCTGCATCTGCCCTCTTAACACTGTTCAGCTAGCATAAACTAAAGTTAAGAAAGTTATTTTGCATCTGTCAGACCTTAATCTGGGTTCTTGTGTCAGTTTATACAATAAACACCACATAAACATCAGAACACACTCACCGCGTAAAGGCTTCAAAAAGTATCTTTATGATGATTGTGCTGCGCTCTTACAGGACTTTACACGCATGGGCGGTACATCACTGTCCTGCTGCCTCCGAGAAACATTCACTCTGGAGAGAAGAGTAAAACTACTTTCAAAGATTTCATTAACTAAATCTGCCCTTATTTTATAGATTAAATATAAACTTTTATAGATTATCATATAAACTGAAGTAGCCTAAAATAGAGTTAGTCATAGAGAAACTATAGCCTTTATAAAATAGACCATTATAATAGGAACAGATAAACTGGCAGACAAATTTTTGAGAAATTTAAATGGAGAAAAAACAATGTGTGTGTCTGTGTCAGTGCAATGTAATGAGTTATTGTAAGAGTGCAAGAGCTTTCAAACTGGGTCTGGAGACACCCGAGGACCGCAAGGGGGCGCTAGAAAGACTGAACATTTTAGTTTAATTTAGTTTTTAATTGAAAAACATATATATTTTAGGTAACAGGTAACTTTTTATACTTTTATATTATTCGACACATTTATTGAATGCACATTTTTGTTTTATTTTGCTTTCTGAAGACAGTAAAAATTATGAGATTAATTGTGAATGTTTTGTTTAGTTGACAGCCCTATTTTTTAACAATCAAATAATAGTAATAAACCTAAATGCGCCTATTGTTTGTTTTTTTTGTTTTTTTATGACTACACGTTTTCTTCTATGAGACACACACACACTTAAGAATAAGCTAAGAATAGTTTGAATCTGCAGTTTCTCCTCGATGTTGTCTTTAGCTGCTCACTGGTTAAGGCAATGTTCTCCGTAAAACTGCTTTGGTATTATATTTATTGTGAAAAGTGCTATAGATAAATCTGAATTGATAATGTTTTTCTTCAGGTTTATATATCTAACTTTATCCTAATAGAGAGTAGGATAAAAGACGCTTTCAACTTACAAAGTAAACATTATCTAGATTTGCTTTGGCTTCAGTACATTTGTCGTAATAATATCACAATTAATATGTTTCTCTCACAGAATAAATGGGTTTCTGTATATGGAAATATATAGCTGCCTTTATAATTTAGGAAAGAGGCAAGATAACCGTATTTGGGAGTCCTTGGCATCAAGTTTCATGACTGTCAAAATGTGAACAGAAGGGGGCGCTGTGTAGCAAACTATTTTTTCCTACCCAAGGGACTTCGAAGTAATGCAAGCGTTAAATGTGACAATTATAGTCCTTTTTTTTTTTTTTTACATTTTCACCATTTAGTAAATAGTTTTCAGTTTTATAATTGCTTTACCCTTATAATTGTTCCCGTTTCGCTGAATATTAGTGCATATGCTAGCTAAGGCACTCAACAGAGATAAGTAAACGCACAAAGCAATTTTTATTTTCATTTCATGTGTACAAAAAAAGTTAGGCACACAGAACAATGCTGTTAAATGCTTATGATACAAATGCCATATTAATAGCATGGGCCTATGTACATTTAAAACAGTCCATCATGACTAACATGCAAATACCTGAAATTTGCAGTAGGTAATTACAAAAAACCTGACATGTTTTTGACTGAAATGTGCTGCTGTTGGCTCTTAGGTACGTTTTACGTCATGTTTACACATCACCAGAGTGTGTAAAGCGTGTCAGTTGCACTTTTACGCACATGGTTGCGTTCACAAGTTACTGGAATATCACTACGCAAGTGTTACATCACAGCTCACTGCAAATATTCATCAAATCAGCCACCCTGACAGTCAACGGAACGATTTCCCACAGTGGTTGCAGCTATGCATCATCTTACTGCAGGGACAAAGCGTCACTTACAACATATTGTTTAGATCATCTTTGGTTGTAACTTCCAGAAAGCAGAGCGATCAAATAAAGAAAGCTGAAAATTAAAAGGTGAAAGGGAGGTAAGGGTACAGACTGGCACTCCATTAAAGGACGAGGAGAGAAACAAAGGACGTAATGTGTACAATATATCGCTTGGCTGTAAAGACTGCAGACTCGTTTTGACATCCCCATAACAAAACGCCATAGCGGCTTAGGAAAGAGAAATTACATTGTTTGAAATGATATTTAACTTGTAGTGTACTCAGAAAAAGTGTAGGCCTGTTTGCTTAGAGTATGCATTAAAATATATGGTAAATCTTTTATGTTGTTTTTATAGGGTGAATCTCATGATAAAACGTCTAAAAGAGAAAAAAACCCCACTAAAATAGGTTTTTGGTTAAGTAATTTGCATAAGAAGAATACAGTACAAAGTATAAAATACAATCAGTTTTGTATATAGGGTGTGAATAACACATTAGGGTTGATCTGGTGGACATTGCAGGACTCCACAGGCATGTGAGGGTGCAGGCTTTGGGGAGCCAGCTGTATTTGTCCTCCTTCCCTAAATCTGTATCAGCAGTGCACTTCAGACAGACAGACAAGAGTGTCAGGCCTCAACCGGACAGACGTGCTCTGTACAGTGTTGGTACTAATTAAAACACAGTAGATAAATGCTTATTGCTTATGCATTTCAGAGTACACGCGTCATCAACTTAGAAAAAGAGCCATAGGGTAAGAAAATGCTAAAAAAGAGTCTAATACTGTGCTTAGGGTTCATATAAAACAATAACAGTGTGTAGTTGAGTCCTTTCCGATGCAACTGTCAAAAATGGCTGCCATTTTTTTCATAAGGCCAAAAGTGGTATAAACCAATGCGGTGACGGAGATGAGTGACTCTACATGTCAGCTTTGACGAAGGATGCAAATAAGCCGTCCTCTTGTTCCATGAGAATCTCTGGTTTTCCATACTCCATGATGCTTCCTCGCTTCATCACAATGACTAGATCAGCCGTCAGGATAGTGTGGACACGATGCTGTGGAAAACAGGCACATTCAAGTAGATGTGTGCACATGTATTTCTACTGACACATCACCTTAGCTGTCAAGATTATGTTTAACTGTGCCCTTTTGTTGCTCAAATCGCTGCAAGATTCTGTACAGAGTCAGTAGCGGCTCGTGGGTTTAAAAATAGAGGAGGCACACTAATTGTATTGGTCTGGGGATCCCCGCCGGCACGAGAGCTCAGCTCTCCCCCAGCCTCCCCCTCCCCTTCTCTATATCCTAGCGGTTGTAATTACATCAGCAGATTCGACACATTCACGATAGAAAAGCGGCGCTTTCCAACTTCAGTAACATTATGGTATTACAGCTGTGAAATTACAAACAAAAAATACACATTCTGAGACATGAATTGAAATGAATTGTGAATTTTATTAACATTAAATCGTGCTCCCATTTTCACCTCAAAATTTTGGGGAAGCTGTGCCTCCCCTGCCTCCCCTCGACGAGCCGCCACTGATCAGAGTAAAACAACAAGCTGCTGTTTACAGGATAAATGAAAACCAGCTTGAGGGAACGCTACAATCATTCCAGTGCACAAAACGGTAGCAGGTGCAGGCATTTAATTCGGTGAAACTCACAAAGGGCCCTGAAATAATAACTAAATAACTTGGCCCATCTATCATAAACACCAAAGGCTAGTGTCATTTTTACTATTTAAATACAATTTTAGCTTTTATTAATATTTTAAATTATCTTTTATTTTTATATTTTAAATTTAGGTTAAAGTTTTAGTAATTTTTTTTTGTTTTTTATTAGTCTTTAAATAAATATTTCTATGTAGTTTTAAGTTTAATTTTATGCCAGTTTTAGTTCTAATAATTTTAGTTCTCTGCGTTCAACAATTAGTATCTGAGGCAATATTGCTAATTTTAGTTTAGTTTTTCATCATTTATATTTAATTTTTTTATTTCAACTAAATTAATTGAACATTTTTAATAGTTGTTTTAGTTAACAACACGCACGCAACTAAACATAATTTTTCAAATTTTTGTGAAAAATTGTAAAAAAAAATAATTATATAATATATATATTGTTTTCATAATAAATATTTAATAGACCACTAGCAAAAAAACTAACAAAAAAAACAACATTTTATTTATTTAATTAATTTTTAATATAATTTATTTTATTTTACAGAGAGTCTATTTTCTTAGAATACCTGGTCAGGTAAGGGCCTTTATGTCATATTAAAAAAGAAAAAAAAACAGGCTCACAACACCTATATTGTGGCTATTTGTATTTTTAAAAATGTATTTGTCAAACTGTTTATTTGTCAGAAAAAAAGATAAAAGGTTATTTAAAAATTGTGAAAGATAAATGTTGACCAGGTAAAAACCAAATAAATTATATTAAAAATGAATAAATAAACACATTTCAACCTAAAACCGTAATGTTGAAAAAAAAAAAAAAGACTAGTCAAACACTAGTCAGCTGGCTTTAGATTACACTCTAAAAATGCTGGGTTGTTTCAATCAAACTTTGGGTCAAAAATGGACTAACCCAGCTGTTGGGTTAAAGTTTTCCATTAAATTTTTAACCCAAAAGTTGGGTTAGTCTATATTTGACCCAAAGTTGGGTAGAAACAACCCAGCATTTTTTAGAGTGTAGGGTTAGTGACTGTGCGCTGAAGTGTTCTAATAGGTTGCACACATAAGAAGCTCTTGGTTACCAACCAGTGTGGCAGGGCGTAGGCGCCTAGGGGCGGAGCCAAAGCACGGTTACTTGTGCGTCCGGACTAAGATGCTGAAGAGGCTGTTCTCCTGTGCCAAGAGGTTAGGAGCGCTGTCACACTCTACCAGAGTCCCAGAGGAAAACACCAGCACCTGCTCCGCCTCCAAGATGGAGGAAACCAGGTGCTGTGTCAGAAGAAGAGAGACGGGTGGACAAAGTAGGACAAAGAAGAGAGGGGAAAAAGGTGATGAGGGTGAGGAGAGAAAAACGGGTGAAAAAGTGCAGCAGACAGAGATCATGCATTTATTCGTGTTCTCTGACACAAACAGAGGCAGAAAGGCCATTTTTGTGTATCTGTGGCTCTGAATGTCAGCTTATAGTACAAACATCAGACTACAGTGGCTGCAGGCTTATAAAATTCTTATAAGCCAATGTGTTAATGCCAAGAG